TTTAGTGTGAATTATATGATAGTTTACATGGGAGAACATAGTTTTACATTCTATCGTATATGTCGTTTCATTGCCATGGTTATAATCCCTCCCTCCCTCTTTATAATTTAAAGTATACTACTTGTGTGATGTAAGGCGCTCTGGTAGTAGTGGTTGTGAGTCAGGCTGCTAATCTCAAGGTCAGCAGTTCTAAACTATCAGAAGTTCCAAGGGAGAAAGATGAGGCTTTCTGTTCCCCTAAAGATTTACCACCTCAGAAACCGTATACAGGGTTGCTATGAGTCAGAACCGACTCGATGGCACATAGCCTTCACCAGCACTTGAGTGATGTAGGAGTATGGCTACAGTGTTGGTAATGTTTTTCTTGTGTAGCAATCATTTGTTATCTCTGATCTACAACTGTATTATACCTATCCCAAAGAGAACATGATCCCATTAAAGAGATTACATCATATGTTATCTGAGTTACAAATCCCAATATATATACATGAATAACTAAAAGTGGGTAAAACCGGAAATTCTACATTAGCAGCTTATTAATAAAGTCACTTCAAGTTTTCATTTCTTTCCAATGCTAGCCATAAAAGGTAACTAACTACACTATTGTTTATAAGTACAAAGTAATTCATTCAGAAACTCTGTAAAAGTTAATTTTTACTACAACCTTATTAAGACAAATATGACTTTTATATTGTTGCTGTTAAGTGCCGTTGAGTCAGTTCAAACCCACAGAGAACCTGTATAGGGTTTCCAAGGAGTAGTCAGTGAGCCTGAACCACCAACCTTGCAATTCAAACCAACTTTGCAGTCCAGCGTACTAACCAACAATACACCACCAAGACTCCAATGCTTTTAAATTTTAGGAATAAACATAAATATCACTGTTTTTTTTCCTTCTCTCTGAATGTCAGATATTAAAAACAGGTGGCAGTGATGGCAGCAGCAGTGAATCTTAAATGTAAAATGTGGTGAATTTCCTGCCAAGACTACTATGAAACACAACTAATCTGAATCTGTTTCTTCATTTGTGATGAGAAAACTAATACCCGTACAAGCTACGGTTGCAGCCAGGAGCACAAAAGAATACAGGTGATGGAACCTCTATATTGAAAGCAAACAAAACATTTGATTGCTACAATAATTTAGACACAATAGTAGTTCATTATAGAGATTTAAAAAAAGGAAATTTGCCTAAGAACATAGAAAAAACAAAAACAATGGCCTTCTGTTCAATATAATATACTTAAATATACCACACAGTCAGCTATAACATTTAATGACTATAGTGTTGACATACTAAACAAGGAATAAAGATATGCCTTTAAGACTGGGACTATGAAATTAAATTATATCAAAGAAGAAAGCCATCATGGGGACTGTGATAAACTGGAGAGCTCACATACCAATTTAGAAAGGTGTTACTACTCAGTTCTAGTCATTCTGCTGCCATGTTACTATATCTTTTTTTTTTAAAAGAAAGACCAAATATCTGGATCTCTAAACAATATTACCCGATTTTTAAGTTCAAACATTTAATTCTAGCAACAAAAGAGAGAAAATACTTCTAATAAGTCAAATAAAGTTTACTTTGAGCTGAATTCAACTTGTTGGCAAGAAGAGCTTTTTTCCAATCATAAAAGAATAAAGTATTCACAACTACTTTGGCTTAGCCTCCCTCTGTTTACTGTCCATGTCCATAAAAAGGAAATCTAAACATTAATTTCTCCATCACTTTATGCCATCTTATCATGGCAGTCCTACTTAAGAGGTTTGATTTGATATGTTCAGACTCTATAGAACTAGATTAACTCATTACCATTCAGTTGATTCTGACTCATAAGAGACCCTGTAGGACAGAGCAAAATGGGCATACAGGGTGGTTTCCAAGGCTGTAAATCCAAGGCTGAGAAGCAGATTGCTACATCTTTCTCTTTTGGAATGGCTGGTAGGTTTGAACCACCAACTTTTCAGTTAGCAGTCAAGTGCTTACTTCACCACTGTGCCATAAAGGCTCCTCAAAACTAGACTGTTGTTGCTAAGTGCCACCTACTCAGATTTGACTTATAGCGACCCTGTATAGGGTTTTTCCAAGGAGCAGCTGGTGAGTTTGAACTCTGACTTGGGATTCAAACCGTACTTGCAGTCCAAGTGCTTTACCCAACAGTGTCATAGATGAGCAATATTTTAATGTCTTATACTCAGAAATAATTTGGTATGTACATATTTTGGGCTGCTTTTAAAATAAATTCTTAATAGTAAAAGACAAAAGCAAAACAAAAACTAGACACATAAAGTCTCTAGAAGTTCTCTAGAAGTTGTTCTCTATATTTTCCCTACAACCTGAGTTTCTTAAAAGCCAATTACAGTGTCCTTTACAACATACACAACAAATCTCATACTTGCTTTGACTATGACAGGGCAAAGTACTTCATCTTTAAGTTTTCCAACTCAAAAATCAAAACTGTGATATAAGACCCAATTATATCAGTTTGATTTAAAGACCAACTAAGATATTAAGATATAAAAAATCTTTAAAAAGTAGAACATTGTATTAAACAAATGTAAAGTGTTATTTCTTCAAGTTTAGCTAAGTGGTGAATATAGTACCAGTTTTAAATTTTGTTTGAGGAGATATAAATGGAATTTCTATTTTATTTTTTTTACAGTTAAGAGAAAAATTACATGATATACATTTTCACCTTGAGGATTAAAGGGTTAAAAATTGTTTTATCAATCCTACCTTCAGTTTGAATTCAAGCTGTGGCATGACAGATAATAATAAATGAGGATCGATAGCAAAAAGTTCCTGAATCAGATCAAACACATGTTCTGACAAATCACTTACAGAAGACCTTCCCAGCACCAGGACTTGATTGAAAAACTATAGAAAACATTAAAAACAAAAATTAAACATACATTTCATTAAATCACCTGCATGGATTGTCTATAAACATGTTCTTTTTAAAAGTACAATATAACCAGGAATTACGTACACAAGTAAAGGGGATAATGCATAATGTTGTTGTGACACTGAGTAGGTTGTGACTCATAGTAACCCTGGGTTTTTGAGGATTTAAAAAAAAAATCTTTACAGGAGCAGAACACCTCATCTTTCTCCCTTGAAACAGTTGGTAGGTTCAAAATGCTGACCTTGTGATTTGAAGTCCACTGCTTAGCCAATGGAGTCACCTTACTCTTTATGATGCATAATGTTGTTACTATTAAGTGTCACTGAGTCATTTCTGACCCATAGTGACTCTGTATAAGATTTCCAAGTAACGGATGGTGAACTTGAACCACCAACCTTGCAGTTCAAATAAGCTTTGCAGTCTAGTGCATTAGCCCACAGCACCACACCAATAGGTGTTGCAATTACAAACACATAATGGGACAATCACCTATACAATAGAACAAGCAATCTCCAAACATATATATATAAATAAAATTATTATCAAGTCATTATAGGATGAACTTTTTGGTATTATTTGACAAAATAACACCTGGAGAAAATAATTCAATAAAAGATAAAAGTCACATTCATAAAAATGATTAATGAAGAAAATATTATAAGACCCTAAATGGTAAGACAATAGGGAAATGGCTAGGCAAATTTTGGGTATGTAACAATTCAAGAAATAATTATAGTCATTCAATTATAAATCTCAAGACAGTGTCAAAATATATAGAGAAAGAAGATAAAATTTTTATATAAAGCATGTGAAAAAATGGATATGAATGGGAGGAAAGGTACAACAAGGAAATTAAATGCTGTACTATTGTTGTTATATGCCGTGGAGTCGGTTCCGACTCATAGTGACCCTGCACAGGGTTTCCGAGGCTGTTAATCTTTACAGGAGCAGAACGCCTCATCTTTCTCCCGCGGAACAGCTGGTAGTTTAGAACTGCTGACCTTGAGGTT